CTCTCTCTCTCTCTCTCTCTCTCTCTCTCCCGCCCCCGTCTCGCTCTGTCCCCTCCCTTCTCCCTCTCTCACGCGCTCTCTCGCTCTGCCTCTCTCTCTGGTTGCCTCTCCCTCCTTCCCTCTCTGCTATGTGTGTTGGCCAATGCGTTGACTGCTCGGGTCCTAAGCTTGCTTGTGGATGTTGACGATATTGTGGAATAGGTTCCTGAAAGGGGTTGTTTGTTGACTGTTGTCGACTAGATGTGTCCTTTTTATTCTTTGGTGCGCGCTCTCTCTCCGCAGCGCCTCGATTAAGCAACCGCATAGTCAGAAATCAAAGACCAAACTCAACGGCCGCGTTGGTCCTGAATCCTGTACGTGACCTGTAGAGCTGCAACACGGCGGACGAACTCAGCGGCGGTGTGTGGGCTTTGGACGGCACGAACGTTCGTAACACTCTATGGCCATGCTTGCATCCTGCCCTGACCATGATCGATAATTCGGGTGGCTCGATTCCTTGTGGTTGGAGCTCAAAGCGGGTGGCTCATAGCGGAGCGTGGATGGGTAGAAACGTGTTGAAAACGTGTTGCAAAGTATAGTATTAATCGGGGGCGTGCCAGTGCTCGTCAAACCATCACGACATCTGGTCACGCCTTCACTCTTTGTCACTCAACGAATCTCTCTGAACCTTCACCAAATACCTCTCGCAACCAAGGAATATATGTACAAAGTTCCTATTCTTCCGCATCTCATCACTGCTGTAACTTTCGTACGTACGTACATAACATCTCAACCGTCATACTATGCTACGAGTACCCCCAATATATCTAATAGCCCCCCTACTCGTATGCATCGTCATGCTCCGAGAAAAACCAACTTCCTCTTTACCATCTCTCCAAAGCAAACAAGAAAATTCTCAAAACACACAAAAACTCCTCCAACCTTCACCAGACTCTCTCTTTTCTCTGGTCCAATCTCGTCTCTCTCTCTCTCTCTCTCCATTACAGAATAGGAATCGACCCCAAAACACTTCCTTCACTGCAAGTTCATCACAACGTCACGGTGCAACGCAAAAGACTCCTTGCTAATGGCCTTCGTCAAGAAATCTGCATGCTGAAATTGCGTCGGCACATGAGTAATTGAAATCTCCTTCCTCTCTACCAGCTCCCTGATAAAGTGATGTCGTACATCGATGTGTTTCGAGTTGGAGTTCGTGATCGGGTTGTGCGCAATCTGAATCGCTCCCTGATTATCCTCGAACACCGGGATGCACGGCATACCTGCATCTGGCAACATAAAACGCCACACCTGCCTCAGGAACAACACTTCCTTCAAGACATCGGCAATTGCCACATACTCTGCTTCCGTGGTGGAAAGCGTGACACACTTTTGTGTCCTCGAAAACCAAGTCACACACCCTCCCCCACACATCACTAGCCCTCCTGACACCGATCTACGGTCTGTCGCCTTGCTTGCATAGTCGGCATCCACAAACACCTGCATGCTCATCCCAGTCACCACTCCCCTCTCAAATGTAATCCCCATCCAACTCGTCCTGCGTACGTACCCTAAAATACCGAGTGCTGCCTTCCAGTGCACCATCTTGGGAGATGCACAATACCGCGCTACTGCTCGTACTGCGTTCGCGATGTCCGGCCTTGTTTGAGTGGCCAACCACATCAGAGATCCTACCAACTCGCGAAAAGGGACATCAGCGCACGCTTCGTTCTCGTCAAAGTCGGTGAGCTTCACGCTCACAGGCAAGGGCACACTCCTCCCCCACTCAATTCCGTACTCTGCAGCCAACTCTTCGGCAAACCTCTGCTGCGAAATCCTCAACAGCCCTCTCTCTACGTCTCTCTCGTAAAAGCACGCGGAGAACCACCTCAACTCTCCAAGGTCTGTCACTGGTACCATCTCGTTAAGGTCCCTGCCAAACTGATCACACGTCTCCTTCTGCCCTACAGCAAAAATGTCATCCACGTGGACCACGATGATCATGATCACACGTCCCTCCTCCATCAATCGAAAAACACACGCATCTGCCAGACACTGCAAAAAACCTAAAAGTAACAAATACCTCGTCAGGTGTGAATGCCAATGTCGTGATGCCTGCTTCAAACCATACAGACTCTTGCATAGCTTCACGATCAAGCCAGATAACCTACCACACCCCTGCGGTAAGCGCATGAAAACATCCTCATCAAGGTCCGACTGCACAAATGCCTGCTGAATATCGAAATGGCACAAGTCAAGGTTCTGTTCACATGCCAATGCTGCTAACAAGCGCACACAAGACACTGATATGGTGGGTGCAAACAATTCTCCAAAATCAATCGAAGCCCTCTGCATATCCCACCGCGCTACAAGCCTTGCCTTGAATTTCGTCGGCCATCCATAATCGTCTGCCTTACAGTTAAAGACCCACTTGGCGTTAATGAAGTTCTCTACTGGTTGC